GAATACAGACACCTAAGAGAAATAAAGATATGAAAATGAGAGAGAATTATGATAACTATCCCAATAACTATGGATATCGCTACCAAAATCCTCATAGATATAAAATTTGGGAAAATAAAAAAATCCCCTATTGGCAACAAAAAGAACAAAGAAAGAGGGATTATTATGATAGAGAGAGATCGGAAAGGAGAAGACCCCAGAGGAATGAAAAACGAGAAAGAAGATATGAACCGAGACAAGAAAAAGAGAGATATAACACCAATTACCAATATAACCGCTACAGAACAGAAGAACCGATTAAAACAGGTAATCGATTCCAAGTATTAGATGAATATGAAGATCAGGATTTTTGGACGAGCAAGGACAGAGAAAGACACAAACGGGAGGAAGAACACCCAAATATTACTCACCCAAATATTACTTATCCAAAAAGAAGAAGAAATTCGAGTCTAGAGGCACGAGAGGAGGAAAACACACCCAAGAAAGAAAGAAGAGAAAGGATATCCAGAAATCCACATCTATGAAAGGAATACATAATTTAAGCAATAGGGTCCTTACAGAAGACCAAAAGAAAGTCTTAAATAAAGGCCTCAAATTTGCACCGAATAAACCTTTAAATCAATTTGAATTCTATGTAGATTTAAATAAATTCAAAAGAAATTTATGTCTAAAAAAATTCTTCTTGAAAAATCCAATAGAACAACAAATGAAGACAGAATATAAAACCTATACTGATTTAAGACAAAAATCTCTATTTTACCCAAAACATATGATTTCAGAAAAAATGACTACATTCGAAACGATGGTAATAACAGAAATTAAAAAATTGGGGAAGAAAGAAGATTCTTATAAAAATTTTAATGAAAATCTAACAATAAAAGAAAAAAAAGCATTAAAAGAACTAAAAGAAGATTCAGATTTAATTATAAAACCTGCTGATAAAGGGGGAGGGATAGTTTTAATGTCTAAAGAATTTTATCAGAAAGAAGCAGAGAGAATCTTAAAAGACGAAAGTACGTATAAAAAACTAAATAATGATCCAAGTAATGAAATAAAAAATATTTTTACTACATATTTTAATAAAGGATTAAATCTGGAAATTTTAAACCAAAAAGAGTTTGATTTCTTAAATAATTTATTCCCAAAGATCCCTGTTTTTTATTTCTTACCTAAAGTCCACAAGGACACGACTAATCCTCCTGGGAGACCTATTGTGGCAGGCATCGATTCTGTGTCAAGCAGACTGTCACAATACGTAGATATACATTTACAGCCCATAGTCAAAAAAACAAAGGCATATATAAAAGACACCATAATGGTACTAAAACTTTTGGAAAGTTGTGAATGGGATGATAACTGTATTCTTGTCACATGCGACGTAACCTCCTTATACAGCAACATCCCACACACTTATGGAAAAGAAGCTGTTAAATATTTTTTGGATAATCATTCAGACCTTACCCCAATAAAAATCGAATTCATCATGGAGGGAATAGAGTTAATTTTAACAAAAAACTTTTTCTGGTATGGGGAAGAATTTTTTCTCCAAATAAAGGGCACGGCCATGGGGACTAAGTTTGCCCCCAGTTATGCGAATCTTTTTATGGCCCATTGGGAAAACTCTTTTATATATGGGCAACATGACTGGGGGAAAAACTTAGTCACCTATGGCCGATATATAGATGATGTGTTTTTTATATGGAAAGGAAAAGAGGAAGATCTTTCCTCCTTCCTAAAACATATGAATAATAACACATGGGGAATTCAATTCACTTGTACATGGAGTAAACAAGAAATAATCTTTTTAGATCTACATATATACATTGAAAATAATTTAATCAAAACAAAAAACCATTTTAAAACAGTGGAAGCAAATAGCTTTATAGGCAGAGATAGTTGCCATTTTTCTCCGTGGCTAGAAAATGCCCCTAAAGGACAGTTTTTGAGGATAAGGAGGAATTGCACCGATATAGAGACATTTAACGCACAGTCTATTAAAATTAAAGAAAATTTCCTAGAAAAGGGATATGAAGAATCCAAATTAGAAAAATCAAGATTAGAAATTAAAGAAAAAGAAAGGAAAGAACTCATAAAGTATAAGGAAAAACAGAAAGATGAAATGAGTAAAATACCTTTTATATGTACTTACAGTTCTGAGAATCATAAAGTCAGAAAAATCGTGTCCAGATTCTGGCCCATTCTACTTCAAGACCCTGCTCTGAAAACTTTTTTACCTGATCAGCCACATTTTATACATAGGGGAATTAATAATCTAAAAGATTCCCTTACATCCAGTTATATAAAAGAAAAACCTAAAAATAATACAACTCTTTTTAACTCAGAGAATGGGTTCTATGGATGCGGACAATGTCTAGCCTGTAAAAGAACTAACAATAAAAAAAGACTAATTAAAAAATTTGAAACTAATGAAGGTGTAGAATACCAAATTAAAGAATTTATTACGTGCCACTCAAAAAATGTAATCTACCTCATAAGATGTCCCTGCGGTTTAAACTATATAGGAAAAACCACTAGACCATTACATATAAGAATAGAGGAACATGGCCGTAATATAAGTAAAGGATTCGAGAAACACAGTGTGTCTCTACACTATAAAAATTATCACGACTGCGAATTAAAAGACACTATGTTCTTGGGAATTAAAAAAGTAACCAAAGATTGGAGAGGAGGAGATTTTAACCAAAAGTTAAGTAAAGTGGAAATGGAATGGATATTCAAACTAAACAGTCTGATTCCAAATGGTCTAAACGCTGACTTTGAAATGTGCCATTTCCTTCTCTAATCTCAATATTACATTAAGATCTTACACTGACATAAAATAGGGATAGAGATAAAGATAAAGATAGAAATAATGTATTTTTATTTTTTATTTTATATTTATATTTGTTTTTAGATTTATTCTTGTCCTAGTTTTTATTTTTGTTTTAATAGTAATCTCTTGCTTGGATTAATTTTTAAAATATCGGTTTATGGTAATTACACCTCTTTCTATAACTTCTTTCTCTCATATCTCTCTATAACTATACGTATTTTTTAGTTCACCCCCTTAACTCTCTCTGTGATATTACAAATATGGAAATTAATCATTACCAATGTGTAATTTGAAGAATTAACCTAAATGAAGCTTAAAAATTTAACCTTTTTAATGATAAACAATTGCTTTCCATTTATGTATAATCTTAAGAATTACCTTAAATAAATTTATGATTATATAAAATGTGTAAAGTAAAATACTACATAAAAATAAGGTTTGTTTAATAACTGTCCGTCTAAAACAAAGAAATGTGAAAAGAATATGCTACCTCAATAATGAAATAATTGCTTATATATCCTTTAACCTATCTTGGATATTTATGACTGAGAGAGACTGCATTGGACTGTAATAACCACAGTGGAACGCACTGTGGAACGCATAGCCATGAAAATCGCCGAAACCGGAAGTGACGTATCGGCCGAGAAACAGGAAACAGGAGGAAACCAGAATGAGGCTTGGAACGCAGGGAGAAAAACCCGCGAAAATCCTAGCATAGACAGCTGTTTCCACACAGGAAGAAAGGTATTTAAAGCAGGAAAAAGAAGTCCAAGGATACATCACTGAATTTAACCAGCTGAAGAAGCCACCTGGCGAAACGCGTTCTGGAAAGAAAAGTGAGCACTGAAAACTCCCTTTTTTTGGACTTTATTGGACTCTACTAAGCCTTATAAGTGTTTTATTTATTTATCTTTTACATATACTTCTAATAGAATTTTTTATAATGTATAATTTTTAATAATAAATATACATACATTTTGATACACTTACGGCTTTTTTCCTGCTAATATAAAGAAGGAGTGTGGTCCTAAAACCACATATGCGCACTGAAGTGAGCCTATAGACTGGCTCTGGGTTTGTGAGTACCTCATTTATTACTTTTACACACCCATAATAACATCAACTATACTACACTATATACCCCCTCCTGTATCCATATAGGACTGGACTAAAGAAAGGAGAAGAAGGGAGAGGGTCGCCTATACGGATCCTAAAGCATCAAAATTCTGAGCTAGATTTATAGCTCAGAAAATTGTGAGTTGCCATTTGGCTTTTGTTTTAAAACAATTTTTACATATTTATATACAATCTGCACTATGTTGTGTATTTTTTCTCTGTTTTACCTTAAGGTTAACAAGAAATAATTGACTAACATAGAAGAAAATTGGGTAAAACTTCGCTTCATATTCAATTTTGCACATAAGCGCTACACCGGTACCACTTACTATTCTCTATCACTCTGTAAAAGATTTTCACGGTGGTTAGCAGCTGTTTAGATTATATATATTTTTAAGATCTTATACTCAAATAGCGCTTATACTTCCTTGTTTTGTATCTACCGTTTGAAGTATTTCTATCTTTTTTACTTCTGTATTAAGCTGCTGAGTTTTAAAATATGTCCTTGTTCGATAAAAGAAATAATATTCAATTGGATATGGAAAATGAATTTGCAAATTGGGACGAACAACCTATAAATAGAAAAAAAAGAGAATATGATAATAATACTGATAAATTAGAAAAATTACTACAGAAAGAATTAAAAATAAAATGGGAAATGGCCACACTAGAGAAATATTTAAAAGATGGTATTACCCCAAGAGGCTTAAGATATTTCAAAATGCCTACCTTTGATAAAGATATAATAAGCTTCATGAATGAATGGAACAATATGTTAGAAGGATTTGCCATTAACACCATAAATCTGATTATTAAAAGACGAAAAGAGAATTTAAAAGAACTAGATATAGAAATAAATAAATGCCAGAATGATATACTGAATTCCCTGAATCAAGAAGAATTTAATGAGGTTACCCAAGAAATAAAAGACAATTTGGACAAATTAGAAAAAGAAGTAATTGAAACTAAAAAAAGTAAATATCATAGAGATGTTAGAGATTATAAAACTAACCAAGTAAAAAGTTTCTCCAAACACAGTCATATAGAGAACATGAGCGAAAGGAAAGAAGAAACACAATTTCAAGGGAGAGAATTTAAAAGACAGGAGTATAATAATAAAAAAACCCCTATAAGGAGAATACAGACACCTAAGAGAAATAAAGATATAAAAATGAGAGAGAATTATGATAACTATCCCAATAACTATGGATATCGCTACCAAAATCCTCATACATACAAAATTTGGGAAAATAAAAAAATCCCCTATTGGCAACAAAAAGAACAAAGAAAGAGGGATTATTATGATAGAGAGAGATCGGAAAGGAGAAGACCCCAGAGGAATGAAAAACGAGAAAGAAGATATGAACCGAGACAAGAAAAAGAGAGATATAACACCAATTACCAATATAACCGCTACAGAACAGAAGAACCGATTAAAACAGGCAATCGATTCCAAGTATTAGATGAATATGAAGATCAGGATTTTTGGACGAGCAAGGACAGAGAAAGACACAAACGGGAGGAAGAACACCCAAATATTACTCACCTAAATATTACTTATCCAAAAAGAAGAAGAAATTCGAGTCTAGAGGCACGAGAGGAGGAAAACACACCCAAGAAAGAAAGAAGAGAAAGGATATCCAGAAATCCACATCTATGAAAGGAATACATAATTTAAGCAATAGGGTCCTTACAGAAGACCAAAAGAAAGTATTAAATAAAGGCCTCAAATTTGCACCGAATAAACCTCTAAATCAATTTGAATTCTATGTAGATTTAAATAAATTCAAAAGAAATTTATGTCTAAAAAAATTCTTCATGAAAAATCCTATAGAACAACAAATGAATACAGAATATAAAACCTATACTGATTTAAGACAAAAATCTCTATTTTACCCAAAACATATGATTTCAGAAAAAATGACTACATTCGAAACGATGGTAATAACAGAAATTAAAAAATTGGGGAAGAAAGAAGATTCTTATAAAAATTTTAATGAGAATCTAACAATAAAAGAAAAAAAAGCATTAAAAGAACTAAAAGAAGATTCAGATTTAATTATAAAACCTGCTGATAAAGGGGGAGGGATAGTTTTAATGTCTAAAGAATTTTATCAGAAAGAGGCAGAGAGAATCTTAAAAGACGAAAGTACGTATAAAAAACTAAATAATGATCCAAGTAATGAAATAAAAAATATTTTTACTACATATTTTAATAAAGGATTAAATCTGGAAATTTTAAACCAAAAAGAGTTTGATTTCTTAAACAATTTATTCCCAAAGATCCCTGTTTTTTATTTCTTACCTAAAGTCCACAAGGACACGACTAATCCTCCTGGGAGACCTATTGTGGCGGGCATCGATTCTGTGTCAAGCAGACTGTCACAATACGTAGATATACATTTACAGCCCATAGTCAAAAAAACAAAGGCATATATAAAAGACACCATAATGGTACTAAAACTTTTGGAAAGTTGTGAATGGGATGATAACTGTATTCTTGTCACATGCGACGTAACCTCCTTATACAGCAACATCCCACACACTTATGGAAAAGAAGCTGTTAAATATTTTTTGGATAATTATTCAGACCTTACCCCAATAAAAATCGAATTCATCATGGAGGGAATAGAGTTAATTTTAACAAAAAACTATTTCTGGTATGGGGAAGAATTTTTTCTCCAAATAAAGGGCACGGCCATGGGGACCAAGTTTGCCCCCAGTTATGCGAATCTTTTTATGGCCCATTGGGAAAACTCTTTTATATATGGGCAACATGACTGGGGGAGAAACTTGGTCACCTATGGCCGATATATAGATGATGTGTTTTTTATATGGAAAGGAAAAGAGGAAGATCTTTCCTCCTTCCTAAAACATATGAATAATAACACATGGGGAATTCAATTCACTTGTACATGGAGTAAACAAGAAATAATCTTTTTGGATCTTCATATATACATTGAAAATAATTTAATCAAAACAAAAAACCATTTTAAAACAGTGGAAGCAAATAGCTTTATAGGCAGAGATAGTTGCCATTTTTCTCCATGGCTAGAAAATGCCCCTAAAGGACAATTTTTGAGGATAAGGAGGAATTGCACCGATATAGAGACATTTAATGCACAGTCTATTAAAATTAAAGAAAATTTCCTAGAAAAGGGATATGAAGAATCCAAATTAGAAAAATCAAGATTAGAAATTAAAGAAAAAGAAAGGAAAGAACTCATAAAGTATAAGGAAAAACAGAAAGATGAAATGAGTAAAATACCTTTTATATGTACTTACAGTTCTGAGAATCATAAAGTCAGAAAAATCGTGTCCAGATTCTGGCCCATTCTACTTCAAGACCCGGCTCTGAAAACTTTTTTACCTGATCAGCCACATTTTATACATAGGGGAATTAATAATCTAAAAGATTCCCTTACATCCAGTTATATAAAAGAAAAACCTAAAAATAATACAACTCTTTTTAACTCAGAGAATGGGTTCTATGGATGCGGACAATGTCTAGCCTGTAAAAGAACTAACAATAAAAAAAGACTAATTAAAAAATTTGAAACTAATGAAGGTGTAGAATACCAAATTAAAGAATTTATTACGTGCCACTCAAAAAATGTAATCTACCTCATAAGATGTCCCTGCGGTCTAAACTATATAGGAAAAACCACTAGACCATTACATATAAGAATAGAGGAACATGGCCGTAATATAAGTAAAGGATTCGAGAAACACAGTGTGTCTCTACACTATAAAAATTATCACGACTGCGAATTAAAAGACACTATGTTCTTGGGAATTAAAAAAGTAACCAAAGATTGGAGAGGAGGAGACTTTAACCAAAAGTTAAGTAAAGTGGAAATGGAATGGATATTCAAATTAAACAGTCTGATTCCAAATGGTCTAAACGCTGACTTTGAAATGTGCCATTTCCTTCTCTAAATCTCAATATTACATTAAGATCTTACACTGATATAAAATAGGGATAGAGATAAAGATAAAGAATGAAATAATGTATTTTTATTTTCTATTTTATTCTTGTCCTAGTTTTTATTTTTGTTTTAATAGTAATCTCTTGCTTGGATTAATTTTTAAAATATCGGTTTATGGTAATTACACCTCTTTCTATAACTTCTTTCTCTCATATCTCTTTATAACTATACGTATTTTTTAGTTCACCCCCTTAACTCTCTCTGTGATATTACAAATATGGGAATTCATTACCAATGTGTAATTTGAAGAATTAACCTAAATGAAGCTTAAAAAAATTTAACCTTTTTAATGATAAACAATTGCTTTCCATTTATGTATAATCTTAAGAATTACCTTAAATAAATTTATGATTATATAAAATGTGTAAAGTAAAATACTACATAAAAATAAGGTTTGTTTAATAACTGTCCGTCTAAAACAAAGAAATGTGAAAAGAATATGCTACCTCAATAATGAAATAATTGCTTATATATCCTTTAACCTATCTTGGATATTTATGACTGAGAGAGACTGCATTGGACTGTAATAACCACAGTGGAACGCACTGTGGAACGCATAGCCATGAAAATCGCCGAAACCGGAAGTGACGTATCGGCCGAGAAACAGGAAACAGGAGGAAACCAGAATGAGGCTTGGAACGCAGGGAGAAAAACCCGCGAAAATCCTAGCATAGACAGCTGTTTCCACACAGGAAGAAAGGTATTTAAAGCAGGAAAAAGAAGTCCAAGGATACATCACTGAATTTAACCAGCTGAAGAAGCCACCTGGCGAAACGCGTTCTGGAAAGAAAAGTGAGCACTGAAAACTCCCTTTTTTTGGACTTTATTGGACTCTACTAAGCCTTATAAGTGTTTTATTTATTTTATCTTTTACATATACTTCTAATAGAATTTTTTATAATGTATAATTTTTAATAATAAATATACATACATTTTGATACACTTACGGCTTTTTTCCTGCTAATATAAAGAAGGAGTGTGGTCCTAAAACCACATATGCGCACTGAAGTGAGCCTATAGACTGGCTCTGGGTTTGTGAGTACCTCATTTATTACTTTTACACACCCATAATAACATCAACTATACTACACTATATACCCCCTCCTGTATCCATATAGGACTGGACTAAAGAAAGGAGAAGAAGGGAGAGGGTCGCCTATACGGATCCTAAAGCATCAAAATTCTGAGCTAGATTTATAGCTCAGAAAATTGTGAGTTGCCATTTGGCTTTTGTTTTAAAACAATTTTTACATATTTATATACAATCTGCACTATGTTGTGTATTTTTTCTCTGTTTTACCTTAAGGTTAACAAGAAATAATTGACTAACATAGAAGAAAATTGGGTAAAACTTCGCTTCATATTCAATTTTGCACATAAGCGCTACACCGGTACCACTTACTATTCTCTATCACTCTGTAAAAGATTTTCACGGTGGTTAGCAGCTGTTTAGATTATATATATTTTTAAGATCTTATACTCAAATAGCGCTTATACTTCCTTGTTTCACAAATTGATTAGTACTTACCTAAACGCTAGCAGAAAGAATTCTCCTCCGATACAAGAACCAGGTTTCCTGGTCATTTCACCCCACCAGAAAACTTTATGTTAATGCTCATCTGTATTAGTCAGAGCAGGAAATGTGAATTAGTGGACTGTGTATTTCTTCATAAAACATGGTTGGAGCAAACAAGAATGAGATGCAAAGTTTTCAAGAGTGGACTCTTGCTAAATGTCTTCAGTGTCATAAAAAGTAAAATTTATCTAGAACAATTCAAAGACATTTCAAAGGTATGTTTGTCATATGTCATGGTTAAAAGGACTATTGAAACTATATTTTCTGAGATTTTTGACATTTTCATAATGAAATACAGCGAGTTTATTTTCTGTACTGAAGCATAGAGGAAAGTACAGATACATTAGACACATTTCTCAATATTTCATTCTATATTGCCCCAACATGCTTTGTGTGTGATGTATTCATGGACTGAAAGATGTGATGACTGTCCTTGTGAAAGTGGCAAACTAGATTAGGTCAAATGGCCTCAGTCTGTCTCGCTTAGTTAAGGAATCATGTTGAAGTGTGTACTTGGTGTGCAAAAATAAATTGAGGTATTAATGAAATCAAAAGGGAAGCCGGTTGAAGAGTTTCAAAATCCACAAAGAATGAAAAACCTTATGTTCCTGATTGACATCATAGAGCATCTGAATGGACTCAACTCTAGATTACACTGCAAGGACCAGCTTGCTAAAAATCCTCTATGATTATATCAAAGAATTTCAGATAAAGCTAATCCTGTGGCAATGTCAAGTGGAGAACTGTACATATTTTGGCCTTACTACACTGCATCAGTTAAGTGAAAGACAGAGTTCAGAGAAATATGTGCAGTGTGTTTTAATTCTAAAAAGAGGCAACTGGTTTGCTACTAGTGACAATGATTGTATCACCAATCGCCATGGACCTTTATACTGAACCTTTATACTGAATCTACAAATGGTGATTAAAGACCTTCAAATGATTCAACGTGAAAAGATAAAGTTGGAGGTTCACAGACTATTCTCTTATACTATCTACTATTTTGCTGCCACGACTACTTGCACCCCCACCCCCCTCAAAAAAAAAATAGCCGACTTTAACCCCCATTGCCAACTTTATCCCCCAGTGTGTCTC